AATTTCTGGGGTTTTTGATTGAATTGTGATGAAAGGGACAACAGTGTTTTGCCTTCATGTCACAGACATATACATGCTACGGATCTGACAAAGTGAGGGGACCAGGTATGGAGGGGTTCGCAGTTGGGGATCTTTCATTTCCCTGGGGCTTTTTTCTGGGGGAGATTTCAGTTGTTTGTTGGGATGAAGGTAAAGTCATCTTTAGCTTCCTTTCCCCCCAACCCCATCAATATGAACATTTTTTTTATTTCTCCCCCACAGCTCTTGTCTCACATTTATTTTGTGTCCTCCACAACCTTTATGAGACTCAACAGACAAAACTATATTCTTTTCTATTCTCAGCATGGAATCAGTGGTATGTTACCCCCCCAGCCCAAGTTGACTGGAATCAATTGTATTATAGCTCTGTTTCTTCAACACTTTTTCCAACTCTGTCTCTTTTTTCTGTTTTGCACTTCAATGAGACATGAGCCTTGTTGCTATCAGATCACAGGTCCATTGTCTGAAGTCTTTGCATGCCTGCCACTGGTATTTTAATACAGTACCTTCACAAAATGAGACATTTTGCACATGGTTAGAAGTTAAACTGATTTTGACCATGACTTTGTCAATGACCAACACATTCTATAGAAAGCAGTGAATTAAACAACTGAATTAAATATAATTCTAAAGTGCTTGCTTCACACATCCCTAAATCCCATGTTATTAAAACTATTGAATTTCTACAACATGCTCATCGCTTTTTCTAATGGTAAGCTAACAGAAATCAGAATTTAAATATGCTGTTTAGACATTGTACTGAGTTTCTTATACATATAGACCTAGGCAGAATTACAACTTTAAAGGCAGGCAGACCAATCATTTATTAGCTTTGAGACTCCATAGCAATGAGTTCTTTTCAAAGATCCTGCTGTTAGATTAGCACAGGGGGTATCAATGTCAGATCTCATGCAGATAAACTCAACATTTCACCTGTTTTACTCTAAATTAGACACTTGACATACAATATGATTAGGAAAATCATTAGATTTCTCAGATCTATTTATCATGTGTTTCTCCTGCAGACACTGGTGTGCTGTAGGCACTTCTTTAGCAAAAGAAGTCATTGTTGGGCATGAAAAAGGATAAATCTTGAACTGATTGCATTCCTTCTGGATTGTATCTGACTTTTGGATCAAGCATGTTTCCTTCTTTTTTAAATGACACCTCCTTTTAGAAGAGACATGTACCTGTACAGTCTTCCATTATATCCCTTATTAACAAAGACCTACAGTAGGTTTGGTATCAAAGGTCCTATGCCCAATTTCATCCCATGACTGATTTGCTGTGGTGATAAGTAGAAAGCTGTGGATCTGTGATAGTGGCTGGAGGCATGTATGACCAAATGGGTTTACCAAGATCAGATGGTCTTTGTTAAAGATGTTTGGTGTCTCCACAACATCATGACTGCAGGTATAGGCATTGTTTTCTCCCATGCCATTCACTCATTAAACACCAAGAAGGTTCTTGTTCAAGGTTCTAGAATATGCAGTATAGGCACATAAAACTGTAATGGTTTGGGAAACATAGTAACGATAATTAGCAAAATCATTGGGGCAGATCAGCTCAACCCAAATGCAGTCTAAGAATACAGGGTTCTAAAGAAGACTAAAAGTATAATGGTGTGTGTGGCTTATCCCCTCCACTGTGAATTAACAGTATATACTTCAATACTGAAGATGCTCTATCCCCCTAGGTGTCAGACGGTAATAATGGTAATTGACTAAAATAATCCTGTCCCACGGTAATAGATTAGAAACTATTTCATTCCCTCTGCAATCCAGTTCTCAAACAAAGTAAAATAACTGTTTTATCTCCTGAAACATTGTTGTCCTGAACACTTTGGTGTTGCTGTTTAATTCTGTTGTATTGTTGTATTGGACTGTGCTGTGAAATAATACAGCTGGAATTGAATTGAAAAATTGAATTGGGGCCAGGTTTGATTAAATTCCAAATGCCAAAAGCAATGGGGATAATGAACAAACAAACAACATGTTTTCTTCCCAGTATTCTACTGCTGGTGGGGGGGACTTATAAGAGATGCTCACTTTCAATTCTGTTGTTTGCCATTTCTTTGGAAACTGGTCCATGAACATTGAACACAACATTGCTGATTGCTCTGTGCTCTTGATACTATATATTTTTACACAGAGACAATGTTTCCCACTCTCTGTGAATTACTTGATGACATGAGTGTTCTATCAAAGTATAAAATAATTTGGGTCAATTCTTCATTACTGCCTTTAAATTTTGCAGTAATTTAATTTTCCTATTCCCAATTGTGCGACTGCTCAAACATTGCAGATACAGTACCTCAGTATTCCTCTTTATGTTATCACAGTAAGTAATCTCATTAATATTTTCAAACAGGAAAACACTGACTTTGACAGACATAATACAAATAAATGTGTTTTCTCACTTAAATTACTTGTAATCTTACATACTGTAATACTGATCCCTCTTCCTTTCCCATTAAGGTACTGGGATAGATTGCACACTAGAGGTTTAAAATTCATATGGAAAGGGAAGTGAGCATGTATTTACTTAACTCTCTGCCGCATAAAGGTCTTAGAGGGATCTTAACCCTGACAACATTTAAAATTAATTTTTACTTCTTTGTTGTCTTTTTGGTTTAATCCTGACATTTCTTTACCTGTCCTCCACTTGCATCTCCATATAGACTTCAGGTTTTTATTTACAATGATGTTCCCCTCCGACGCTGTAGACTGCAGCGGACCCATAATTACATACTTAATGATGACATTCCTATTCTCCTCTCTGATAACTCTTTAAATGTTGTTTGCTGCCGGTGTTCTACATTACAGGATCAAAGGGGATTCAGATTCTATCACACATTTTAAATGAGGATCATCTTTGGAGATTAGAAGTCCTGGAATAAACATTCTGCACAAGCTTTCTTTACACCTTAATGCATAGTCTGCTTGATTGTTGGGACGAAATATGATTTGGAAGCATTTAGATCTGGCTAGTTTGCGGACACTGGTATCATCATCATTTTTACTGTTCTGAAAAATAATATTCCTTGCTTTTAAATTCTAAATATAAGTAAAACTTATATGTGTTAAGAAATAAAAAATAGCAATAATGTTTGCTTACACAAGAGAAAGTAATAGAGCAAATGATCACATGCTCCCATTATGACCCTCTGGTTATAACATCCCATCATCTACTGGAACATAGGCTGCAGTACCCTCTCCTGTCAGCAGGGGTGCATGGATCTTACAATATAATAATAATAATAAACTTTATTTTATATAGTGCCTTTAAAGGTGACTTCTCTTGAGAGGCTTCTCTGCGCATCATATCAGTGTGTCCTACAGTACATGACAAATGGGGTGATGTCCAGAAAAAGTATTTATTTAAAGTCCACTGATTTTTTTTTTAATTTTTTAGTATGACTTATTTGAGCAATTTTAATTTCCATTACCTTGACAGTAAATAACCTGACTGGCTACAACTCACCACTCAGTCAAAGTAGATCCATGAATTACAGACACTAAAACCAAAAGGTCTCATTGAAAATTGGAATCTATGGTGTTTCCCGAGTAAATAAGGATATAATATGGAGTTGTTTTTTCTCACGATTTAACTAGGAGTAATTACTTGGCAACATCAAAACTATCTGTTACCTCCAGTTGTAAACCAGTAATGCTGTTGAGTGATACTGGATTTTAGTTGGTCTTATTGAAAATTGTATGAATACAGTAATGATTTTGTTTTAATGCATGATAACTCAAATTAATAAAATAATTTATAATTATCATTTTTGTAGTTTCTTTATGGTGAATATGTTCACATGATTTGTAACTGCCTTTTACAAACATGGAGTTATTTTAAACCTGTATGTTTCTTAATATCAATATATCTAATTAGATATAAATATAGGATATATCATTATATATTATTTTTCAAATGGTGATTTTTTTATTAATGTGCAACTTTCTTTGTGTAAAATATAATACTACAACATTGAAATATGCTTACACTTTCTAAAGTTACTTACCTTCAATGCATTTAAAAAGTAGCAGTATTATGTAATCACTAACATCATAAATGACTGTAGTTATTTGTTAACTGCGTTTCAAGATACATAAGGTTTGTAATAAACTTTCCATTTATTTCTTTTGTTTCTATTAGATATGCTGGGGCTAATGGGAAACCTTGTGATGGTTAAATTCTCACAAATGCTGCTTAATGCATGTTACATATTTTTATTTCCTAATCCATCTTAGGGAGTATCAGGTGCTTATTGTTTAGAGTGACATTGTGATAATATACTTCGACCTTGCTTCAAGGAGAGCTAGATCCTTCTGATTAGCAGAGCCTCTGAATCAACAATCTGACTATAAACATTACATCTATACTTCCAAAGAGCACTAACTCTATAAAAATATATTTATAAAATTGGAACCTCACACTGGATGCTCGCTCTGAATCCTCTGAATGAGTATGGTCATCTTGACATACGAAAGTGTGCAAAAAAAATATCTAGGTTAGATAAATGTAAGGAGCCTTTACATTTTTTATAAAATGAAATACTTGAAGCTAAATTATATTTTCACAATATGTTTCAAAGTTCTTTGGATTTCTACCGTTCTTGCTACCAAAGTGAGCAAACCACACCTTCACAAAAGAAAAATGTTGAGATAAGAATAACTGAAGCACAGAGTCTTTGCTAAATGGGAATATTACTCTAGAACCCTGCTCAGATAATAGTAATTGTTATATTTATAATCTACAGTTTAGACCCTGCAATAATAAACACTTTCCGAAGTATTTAAATAAAGAGTAGTGTGAAATCACACTAATATTTTAAAGTAAGACAATTGTAAAAAAATCAAACACCTTTTTTTGTTTTTGCAAAAATGTGTATGCTTTTTTAAACTATAGAAAATATGAACTATAAAGAAACAGAAATTAAAAGTCTAGAGACACAGTAAGACATTTGCAAAGTGCTTTTTATTTTACGTTGCATTGATTACATGCCTCTACAATCACATTAAGCTGGTTACAGGTAGAATCCAACTGTAAAAGATTTAAGATATTTCCTCTTGTCTAAAAAAACATCTTATGCACCATTACATTGGACTTACTGTACATACAGAAACAACAGTGATGTGGACACAGTGTGTCGCCTTCTGATTCAACAGTCTTTTGGTTTAACAAACTGATTTGTAAAAATACAAAAAAGTTCATTATGTTATTTCTGTAGACATAGCATTCAGTCGGTTCCGGTAGCAGAAATATTTTCCGTTGATCGTGTTTCTTAGGCCCTTTGAAGAGAGGAGCTTTATGCAGGAGACACCTGACTGGAAGAGACTGAAGAGGCCTCTGTCTTGGATGCAGTAGTGGATGCGCCCTCCTCCTCTTCGAATGGATTCTTTCCGCAGCAGAGGGTTGTAATCATGCAGTGACGGAACTGCTTATTCATGCAGACGTAGATGAGAGGGTTGTATAGGGCTGAGCTCTTGGCAAAAAATGCCGGACCTGTCATGAAGACTGGGCCAAAATCAGCTCCCTTGTGGGTGAAGATGTACCAAGCTACACTGCCATAGGGAGTCCAGCAGACTATGTAAGAGATGACCATGAGAACAACCATGCGGGTGACTTCCCTCTCGGCCCTCTGGGTGGTTTCAGACTCCTGCTGTTGGGCGGCAGCTGCCTTGACAGTGCAGACCAGGCGGCCGTAGCAGAAGAAGACAACACTGAACGGCAGGAGGAGGTGGACAGTGAACATGTAGATGACAAAGGACTCGTTGTTTACCTCGGGTTTCAGGGTGTAGTAGTCAATTCCGCACGAGCACTGCATGCCCTCAGGAATGTACCTGGACCATCCGAAGAGGGGAGGAACAGCACAGGCGCAGGCCATCACCCAGGTGAATAAAACACCCATGATGGAATGGGATTCGCCGAACCTGAAATTGCTCATGGGCTTGCAGACCACTAGGTACCTCTCGACGGCCAAGACCACAAGGGACCAGAGGGAAATCATGCCACCAAGGGTAGCAAAGAATCCTTCAATGTTGCAGCCAGTGGTGCCGAAGACAAAGTAGCCATTCATCGAAGTGTACATCGTGGTGGTGAATCCTCCGAAGACCATGAAGAGATCACCTACAGCCAGATTTAAAAGAATGTAATTTAGCGGGGTTCTCAGCTTCTTGTGCTCGATGGTGACGTACAGGGTGAGGAAATTGATGGGGAAGCCGGTGATGATCAAGAAGAACATGTACGCTGCCAGTGCGGAGAACTTCCATGGTTCAGCAAGGTAGTACTGTGGGTATTCGAATGGGCTTCTCACCACGCCAGTTGCATTTGACATGGGCACGTAGAAATTGGGGCCCTCTGTGCCATTCATGGTTGCGGTTCTCGGTCAGCCCTCGAGAGATGTTGTTCCGTCTGGCTGGACTGCTGAGAGATGGATTTGGACCTTGCTACAGATGGATCCAAGTCCTGTTTAGGTGCTTTTAAAGAGCCACCCTGGATTAGCATTTATGTTTCATCAGCACAAAGCAATTTAGGCCACTCTAATAAATAATCCAGCCAAGACTGCAAACATAACTGGCTACTCATCAAGTTATTAAGGTTGCAGCTGACTATATGTATTAAAGACTTTTCTCATGAGTGGTTAATCTGAATTACTATTATGAGCACGAAAATCCTTGCTACATGCATTCAAAAGTTTACCTACTACATTAATTACAAGAAATCTGCAAATTTATTGTGACTGTTTTCTTTTTTAAAGTTGTAATAATGTACATATAAAACCTGCTTTCCATTGAGACTGAGTAACCGTTTTCAAAATTTAAAGATTTTAAAATTTGCAACCGTGGCAGCTCTTGAAGAGCAAAGTGCTGCTTTTTACTAATGGAATTTGTGGTTTTATTTTCTGGAATTTCCTACATATTACATTATTGCAGCACAACCCAGTGGCGATTAGTAGGCTTAATAATGGTTTTAATATACATTTTGAGGCACGCCAGATATACAGTATCTTTCCAAGGGCTTAAAATGTTGGAGAAGGTACTTAGGAAGTGTGTCTTGTACTGATAAATAGAAATTAGATTTTGGCTATTTGTATAATTTGGAACATCTAAAAACTAAAATTAGAGAAACAGACAGGGAGGGTGATTTTAGCATTATAGTGTTGCTCATTACAGATGTAAAAAGATGTATTTGTGTCTGTGAGAGATCTGCTTACTTTGCCCGAGGATTTAAATCCTTCCCTGTTTATCTGTACTCATGCTTAGTGCTATACCTGCATCACCTTGTCCTTACTTCAATAAAGGATCCTTTGGATAAATCTCCTCACAACCTGTTTTACCATTAACATTAACAGTATATTCAATATACTGATGCAAATATATTTTAAAACTTTTGTAACTGACGTACCCCATTTAATAAGCTTGTTTTTCTATTTCATTTTTTCCCCTTCAGTAAAGTCCTACTTTCATATTTGTATTAAAATATTTGACATTAAAACCTAAAAGAGATGTGATTGCAATGTACTAAAATTGCATCCTGGTTTCTCTCAATATGACAAACATGCTAGGTATCTACTGTATACATTGTCTGTTAACATAATAGGGAATATGTATGGCCAAAAAGAGCACTGAGATATACTGTACTGTAATGTGTCTTCATGTGTCATCTGTTTCTTACATCACATGGGAAAATATATTCAACTCAGACCTGATATAGAATGATGTTCTTATTTTATATGACTCTAATACTTTACAGAAGCAAAGCAAAAATACTGTTGAGTGATGTAATAGGAAGAAGAAACGTGACATTGGTTCATAGGTTATCCTATTAGAGATGAGGGAGGTGGCTGTGAAAGACCATCTAAACTGTTAATGACAGGGTTCAGCAGATCTGTTGTGGGAATTGCATTAAAAGGATTTTAAGATTACGAATAGTTATTCTTGGAGTTGGTTTTGTCGTTTTAGTGTCTTAAAGAGACACCTTGTGGTCAATCTTCTAACCTACTGTTATTTGTAACAGGTGTATTCAAAAAGTGTCTTGACAGTACAGTGTACTTTTCCTCTAAATTTATTTTAGAAAACAAAGTTAAAGTGCTGTGCAAGGTTTGATAGACACTGCTGGGTATGTGCATTTGTTAAGCACTATAGTTGAACATGTAAGTAAGTGATTTTATCAATTTTTGCTTTGCTGAGGATGTTTTATTTCTATAATAAGCGATGCAACTAAAAAAGGGGACTGAGTAATGTACATGAAGAGCTGGATTAACATTTATACAGCATTTTTCAAATTCTCAAATTTCTCAAATTCTGAACAGGTGTTTTCTTATTGAATGTAGTGGATACTAAGTGCAAGCATAGTAAAAGAAGTCAGATACCATTTATATATTTATAGTTTTAAATAGACATTTAAAGACATGAGACATGAGACATTTTTTATCATTGTATAACTATACTTCTTGCTGATTAGCAGGCTTTAAAGTGGAAAAACAAGAAAAATATTTGCTTTTCAAAAACTAAGGGGAATTAAAGTTCTAAATGTAGATGAAAAATAAAGTACTTGGTAAATAATACAACAATAAACATTAAGTTGAGAATGAGGAGAAATTATCTGCCAACAAACTGTCACATTTTGCTGTGAGAGATGTGGGTATTGTACTCCCTCTAGTGGCAAGCAGATATAACAGTGCTTTTGTGGAATATTAATATATCCTCTAAATATAGCTTTTCTAAATGTACTTCAGTTTAAGATAGAAGAATCTAAAATGTCTGTTTGAATCTCTGTGCCCGGAATCTCACCTACAGAACTCTTGTAAAAGTGGTTAACACAAACTGGAGAACCTACAAAAACTTCTCATTGACAGATGATTTATATTGTCTTATGTCCCTGCATTTTTTTCTGTCTTCAGTCATCGTGCTGAAATACAACCAAAAAGCTAAATAAGCTTAATCCTAAAAAACACATGATTTGCTGTGGATTCCTCTTTCTATCACTCAATCTGTTAGTATTGTGTATGTGTGGAAAACTGCAATTTTCCCCCGGGATCACAATCTGTACTGTTTTCATTTTAGAATATGTTTATTATTTTAAAATATGTTTATTTTAACATCTTAATGCTATTTGTGTGCTTTGGCCTCAAGTATAACATGTACCATGCAACTTTCTAACAATGATTTCAAGATTAAATTGTAAAAGACAAAAAAAAGGGGACGCACGTGGCCTTTTTCAGAGTGAAATGTTAAAGAATGTCAGTTGAGGTCAATAATGATGGGTTGGTATGAAACTCTAAAGCTGACAAGCAATTTAAAAATATTTTTAAAACACGGGTGCTGAGGCATTAATATATATCTCTGGGGCAATAACAAAGGGATATGCTGCATTTTAATATTGTTGAACTCTGCCAAGAAAAACACACAAATGCGATACACATCTGCAGCATGACCTGGTGCTCTAAAAAAATAAATTAGCCACAAACACTCCAAGACAATTGCTTTCTGTAACATTTTATTGTTACCATTTCTAGCTGTAGGGTAATGGACTCCATATTTCTGTTTTCATGTGGTTAATGGCCATTTGCATAACACCAGGTCAGGAATCCTAAGAGACTCCTTTCTTTTCTTTCTTTTTGTTCCTTTTTATTCACAAAGAAACAGGCTTTCCCTTTTACACTAAGAAAACAAGATCTAGTCTCACGTTACAAATTGTAAACTTCCTGATCCTGAGGGCATAGCCTTTGGCTGGGAAGGCTTTAATACAAGGGGGGTTATTTTCTTAAATACTAATTGCTGAACCTGAGCGCATGTTTTCCCTTTAGACCGGTTGAAGTCCAGCTTATTTTGATGGTTTGGATTTGTTTTCAATGTATGCCCCACAGGATGTCTTGATTCTGGTATGTACACAAAAGTGAAGTGTGTGCTCTCACCTTCACTCCGCTCTTCCGACTGATAGGAGCATCGATGTGTGGTCAGTTATAGACTTAACATCCCACTGAAAACATTGTGTTACCTTCTGGCACACAATCAACTTTAACTGCTGCTTCATTTTTGAAGCCAGCTCTTTAGGCTTTTTCCTTTCATTTTTTCTAGACACTGTGTCAAAATGATGAAGGCATATGCCACCTATGCACTTTTCTAACCTTCTGCATTTAATATTTGCTTAATGTGGCTCTCATAATGCTTTCACCACCTGTGCTTTACTACATGTTACAAGATTATTACCATGGTACACCACTGTAAACATTTTAATGGAGCATTCATATCGAGTGATTCATTTGTTTTTGTTAATTTTTGCTCCATTAACCTTAAGCGATATTGAGACAGATTATCTTAGGCAAGATATAAAATGCTCCTTAGTCCAGGTCTTGTTCAGTACCAGTAGCTTAAGCATATAAATTTAAATCCTAATGAAAAGGATAGTTCACCTGAGTGATAACAGGAATGTGACTGTAAATCAAAATGCAAAGACTTGAACAGAGATAATAAAGATGGTTATGAACATTTATGTAATTTATTCTTTCTGTATCAATAAAGTAATATTACAAAAGGATACATTGTACAGATCACAGGACAAGCTGTTTTTCTAATCATTTATAAGGTCCAGTGTTTCATTTGTCACTGTATCTAATATGTAAGTGATATATATTCCAAGACGAAAATAACAAGTGATTTAGTGAAGCTTCTAAGCATTGAGTAATGTGCTGCTACACTTTACCTAAAATGTGTCATGAAGTTTGGCTTTAAGAAGCTTTTCTCTGTTTTGTATAAAATGTTTTCAATAGCAAAATTCTAACAGCATTCAAGAAAAGTAGTCAAAGAAGAGGAACCAAAATAATTTGAGGTATAAATGGCATTCACAGATTAAAGGAGCGTCTTCAGTCTGTAAGGTACTGTATCAACTACAATACTATAATTGTTATGAATGCTGAAAGCCACTGAAAAGCAATTCAATAAATTACCCTAACTTTGCAGTAAAACAAGAACATGAGGGCACTACTGGATGGTAACAGTAAATGTATTTAGTGCTGAGGCAGGAGGCATTTTTTACACAAAGGGTGGTAAGTATCTGAAAAGGCTGCAATGCAATATTGTTGAATCTGCTACTTTCGTCTATATGAGATCTTTAAATCATTAAGCTACTAGCAGCTACAACAAGCATGATTCGTGGAACGTTCTATGCTTCTTTCTATTTAAACGGCATCTTAAAGTTATTTAACCACGACTGTAAGAACATAAGAGCAGAAGAAATTTTACAAAAAGAGGAGGCCATTCTTCCTATCCAGCCTGTTTGAGATCCAAGGATCTCATCAAGCCATTTGCTGAAAGCTTCTTCAACAACATAGCTGGATAGCTTGTTGCAGGATCCCAGAATGGGAGTATTCCGATAATCCTTGACTCAATTTTGAAAATATAGATATCACAAGGATTTTAATAAATTATAATAAGAAAACAAATATCACACAAAGAAGACAAAAGTTGTCTGT